GAGTATTCATGCTGAAAAAATAAAAATTGACGAATAACTTTATTTCTATATACTTGCCCTTTTAAATCTCCATTCATATTTTCTTTAACTTGCATTCATATTAGAAAAGAGATAGAAAAAGCACTTTACGCTAAAATTTTGTGTTAGAGAATAAGACATGTGGAATGTGCATTGTAAATCTCAACATTGCAAAAGCGTTAAGGAATATACATATACATACTTTTTTTATTTCACTTGCTCGACTACTCAGTAATAAAAGCTTAGTAACATTATATAAATATACTCCGGTCAGAATCTAGTAGGAATAGCCTGTAGTAACGCAATGCTTTAGAAGAAATAAACTCATAAATAAATGCCTGCTCCTTCAAAATTATTTTTTTTAGGATGAAGAAACTAATTCACCATGCAGATCGATATATCAAGAGGATATTGCATAAGCAGTTATACAGAATTACAGATGATTTTTGATGTATTACCTATTATATCATATATACTTTAACGAGGATTGAAAATGTGCTAATTTATGTCGTACATGTCTTCATGCATTATAGCTGGACAATATATTATTTTATTAATACAATATTCAGATTTGGGTCAAGGTCTGATCTGGAAAATTCAGTGCATAAACTACAATTATTATCTAAGTCTGTGAAATTCACAGTAATATCCTTTCTGTAAATATGATATATGTATTTTAATGGCGAATTGTATATAAGTTTCATTTCTGATGATTTAATCTTATATATCTCATATTTAGAGCTCCGAACAGGTCGGTTCAGGTCAGGTCAATTAAGTTACCTGAACTGAGAGATCAGGTCAAGTCAAATAAAAATCCAACCTGATTTAAATTTTCATTTGACCTGACCTGATCTGACCTGACCTAATTGAATTATAAAACATTATTTTTGAATGATAAAATCATCGTTTTTGAATGATAAAATCATCGTTCTTGAACAATAATAAATTGTTCTAATTAAACAATAAAACATCGTTCACGAACGATAAAATATCATTCACGAATGATAAAACATCGTTCACGAACAATAAAACCATCGTTCAAGAATGATAAAACCATCGTTCAAGAATGATAAATCATTATTCTTGAATGATAAAATCATCGTTCTTGAATGATAAATCATCGTTCTTGAACAATAAAATCATCATTCTCGAACGATAATGAATCATTCTAATTGAACAATAAAACCATCATTCTCGAATGATAACGAATCGTTCTAATTGAACAATAAAACCATCATTCTCGAACGATAATGAATCGTTCACGAATGATAAAACCATCGTTCAAGAATGATAAAACTATCATTCTTGAACAATAAAATCATCGTTCTTGAACAATAAATCATCGTTCTTGAACGATAATGAATCGTTCTAATTGAACGATAAAACATTGTTCAAGAACGATAAAACCATTATTCAAGAATGATAAAATCATTATTCAAGAATGATAACGAATCATTCTAATTGAACGATAAAACATCGTTTAAGAACAATAAAATTATCGATTTCGAACGATAACGAATCATTCTAATTGAACGATAAAACATTGTTTTTGAACAATAAAATCATCATTCTCGAATGATAACGAATCGTTCTAATTGAACGATAAAAACATCATTTTTGAACAATAAAACCATCGTTCAAGAACGATAAAACCATCGTTCAAGAACAATAAAATCATTATTCAAGAACGATAAAACCATCGTTTAAGAATGATAACAAATCGTTCTAATTGAATGATAAAACATCGTTCAAGAATGATAAAAACATCATTCACGAACAATAAAACCATCGTTCTCGAATGATAATGAATCATTCTAATTGAACGATAAAACATCATTCAAGAATGATGATTGGTTGACCTGAATTTTGTCAAGTCAGATCAGGTCAGTTCGACCTGTTGACCTGACCTGACATTAATCTGAAAATCTACTGACCTGACCTGGATTTTCAGGTCAGGTCAGGTCAGGTAAACAGGTCGACCTGACCTGATTCGGAGCTCTACTCATATTCTGAAATTCTGATGAAATATACAAAATTATACTTTTTATAAATATTATAATATCTGGGATTTCATAGCCATTTTAACATGTCAAACCAATATGTATCTCTAATAACTATATAACCTTGCTAATATAATAATTTCTTAACAAGTATGAATGTTGCAAAAGATAATTGTTACCATAATTGGACTTTCTTCTCATATATTCAACCATTTTTCACTAAAAAGCAATATTCCTCATACTAAATTTGTCCTGAAGGATTATATCCTTTATTTTTTATACTTAAAAACTTCATATTATTAGGAATACCATCATTTCTCACTGTCTTTCAAACTCGTTTTGCCAAAGATTCAGATTTTTCTTATAATTCCTATAAGCTTATTGGATAACTGTTATATAGAAATTCTCAAACTGATAGTTATATTGTCTCGCAATTAAGAATCTCCAAGATCGCTTTATTGATCTTTCTGAACTCAAAAATATTTTATTAAAATAGATTAGAAGATCTAACTCAGAATAGGCAGATTATGCATAGCGTCTGCAGATGATACATTTCATGTATAGCACCTTCGGTCAATTTCATTACATGTAGATTATGTAGTCGCAAAAAAATAATTTATGAATATAGTTTAGATAAATTTTTATAATTAAAACATTTCTCTGAATCAGTCAGTCAAACTAGTTAAACAATCATGACTTTTGTTCCATCACTTAATTTTAACACAGTGCCTTTTGTGAATGATAATAAATTATTTTGTTTTGTATACTGAGACGAGATAAATATTTCGCTTGTAATTCCTTTGGGATCCAATGATTGATAAGAAGTTAGTGAAATCACTTCTTGCCTGGCAAGTGAAATACAAGCTGGCTCAAATTTTAAAGCATTTGACATAGTATTTTTTGCTACAGTTGTTTAGATTGTGTATAATTTTTATAGCTAACCGTAAAATTTCCATTATAATTATATAATACCAATACCAACTTATCCTTTTCTAAGTGTGAAGTAGATTAAGAGAAAAGCTCTAGACAAAGACAATTAATTTTAGCCTCTTCTTGTAATATGTATTGTTTATATTGTCAGATCTGCCTTCTATCAATAGATTTGAGAATTTCTTCTCTTTTTACATATTCATTTGAAATAGTATTTCTAGAAATACATCTTTTCAAGTGATTATCATAATGGAGATGGGTGCTATAATTATATCCAGGTATGAAAACTAAGGAGTCACATACATTATAATATATATAATTTGTTCGATAAGTATAGACTTTATTATTTTCATAAAGCTTTCAACACATTATAAGATATCTATTCTTAGAAAGGATTCTTGGATTCTCTTCAAGTATTTTCCTAAATGGATCACAGATACAAGAGCATCACATTTCTGACATTTCATGATCATATCATTTAGCTAAAAGACATAATACTTCTAATATTCTTCTATATTCTTTGAAGTTTACATCACTATAGCCTACAAAAACTAGCTTATATTAGGCTCTATTATCTAAATCTATAATGGTATTTTTAGTGATTTCAGTATGTTATATTGATTCTTTATCAACCTATACTAGACAATACCACTATTTAAATTTATACAGATTTACTGGTTAAGAGATTTATAGCAATTTCACTATTTTTTATTGATTTATAGTAATTTATAACAGTTTGTAATAACTATATTATAATAAAATATCAGCTTCATTTTTATTCAATTACAAGCATATCAGGATTTATATAGGATCATATTTCAGGTTAAGCTAATTTTATATTTACATGCATATGCATGACACCTGACTAAATCAATTTGTGACATGACGTATATTATATCACATATATTACCCTAGATTCCTACTAGTTCCTTGATAGTTCTAGAAAAATTCTAGACGTTGACGAGTTTCTATACACAGTGCTTTGTTCGAAAAATGCCTCTGGTCTGACTAAATTACAAAATGATCAGCCAATCAGATTTTGGATTTTTTCTTTAGCTAGATAAGCATAACGAGTATTTAGAAAAATGATTACGAATAAAATGCACATGCAAAAAATATTATTTTTCTGATAGTAGAGTCTAAACAAGCTTGTCTGAGCTCATCAGCAGAAGAATAAATGAATTATGTAATATAATACAGTATGTCAAGTGATAATTTATAGCGTAGTACTTCACATATTTTATAAAATTATTATTACATATATTATACATACTCATACACATTTGCAAAGCAAATAAAAATATAAGCCTGAATTGTGAGCAGAACTTTATTAAATCGTTTTAACTAATCTTCAAAAGAAAAATATTCTCTTAAAAATGATGAGATTCTAAAGGGACCTGGTTAAGGCTGGACAAGTTTGTCTGAGCTTGTCAAACCTTATGCGTTAAAATTTCAGCCATTACATATTTAGTTTTATCTACAGTTAGATTTAAGATGAATTATGAGGGAATAGATCTAATTCTGACTATTTTTTCTTTATTATAGTATTAAAAAGCTTATATATCTTTTCAAATTTCTCTGTCTTTTTTCGCAAAGCTTTATCAGAGCATTTTGTCTCTAGAATTACCATCCTAACCTTCTTTTTAACTATCACTTCAGATCCATCTTTGCTAAACTTAGGTTTTAATTCCTTGTATCGTTTAAATACAGCTTTCTCAAAATTAAAATAACTGAAAATGAGTCTTCAAGATACTTCTTCATTTTTAGTTTCAGTATGATCAATCCTTTTAGAGAGTTGTAAAAAGTTACTTGCACTTTCACTTATTTCTTTCAAGCTCCTACCACCATTAGGAATATCTGTTAATAATTCTTCGATAAATTATTTTAGCGTATTTGATACCTTCTTCTTCCCATCAGTTTTTTTTGCTTTCTTGCATATCTTGTAAAATTCTTAATGCAATCATAATGCACAACATGTTTGCAGGGTAAAAAAATGGTTGGTTTCGTGAATTATAGGAAGATTTCTTCAGAGCATTGTTCATATATAGGACATTAGATTTGATTACTAGTAACTTTTGAAATTGAGTCATTCAAATTTTCAGAATTGCCAAGTGTAGTGTGAATAGCCTTAATAGGACTGGTTGCCTAATCAAAAGTTTCTTTAGTGATCCCAATAGTCTTGGACAAACTTTATTCCTCTCTGCCTAATAATCCTAATCCTTTATAATAATTACATTAGCATCCTCATTTACAGGAATTGCATTTTCCAAATCCACTAGTATAAAGATAGTATTTTCATCAGTAGTTGAAGATTTGTCTTGCGATTCCTTTTCCTTAAAAAGATCCAGAAAAAGAAAGTTTTAATATTTCTATTATAATCCTTATTCAGGTATTGTGATTCTCCATTCACCAGATACTTTTCGAAACACTTTTGATGAAAGATATCACCACATAAAGCTAGGTAAATTCTTTGAATAAGACGGATTCCTAGGGCGAATAAAGATCTTCTTCATATAACAAGCAAGGGTCTACATCTGAAAAAACAGTATTATCAGAAAGAATCCTTGTATTTTTGAGAATATTAATCACAAGGGCTTTGATGAGGTTTGTATACATACTGCCTTATGTATTGTATATGGTTGAAGAGTTTTAAGCAAAAATGTCTATATTTTATAACTTTCTCTCTTGATCAAAGATCTTTAGGATTATAACCAAATATGCCCAATATCATTACTTTATAATTTTTTCTGTCTGAAAGCTTCGCAGGAGCTTTAATCTTTTTTTAAAATGAATATGACTGAAGAAAAAAAAAATGGTAATTATACACTGCATTTCGTTACTTCGTTAATCCCCTTGCAAATCAATAAAAATGATGAAAGATTAACATACATTTCAAATCCTATATGCAAAATAATGTTTGCCAAAAAAAATTATCTATATTCGAACAAATGTAAAAAATAAATGCAAATCATGTTTTAGAATAAAAATGGCTGAAGCCTATGCATAAATACATGCAAATCTTACATCATACAGCCCCTATTCCTTCAGCAAGAATTTTATTAGCGTATTTCAGGCAGATCACTTTTACCTATTTTTTCAGTGAACAAGCTCATCAAAATTACGTAGAAGTGGAATCAGCATCTGGTTAAATTTATCTTCTGAAACCTATGATTATAAGCAGGATCAGCATCAGGTTAAAATTATCTTTGACTAGTTTGTAGTAACACGACTGACACATAAAAAAAGTATATGCATGGTTATATCAAAATTTTAACTATTACGGTACATAATTTACATTATCTAATGCAAAAATCGCAAAATTTCCATTATCAATTATGTATAATAATAAGTGTTTCTTTATTAAAATTAGCAAAATAACATAGATTGGGTTGTAGCCCATTGTCAACGGAGCAATTAACCAGTTATAATGAAGTCATGTGAATAATGCAATATAATGATCTCTTAATTCAGAATTCTGAAAATATTGAAAATTCTGTGTATTCTGAAAATACGGAGGATCTACGTAATTCTAAAGATCTTTCAAATACTAACGATAATCTTAATTTTACGAATTAAATGAAGTCTAAGAATATTTAGTGTTATACTTATTTTTAATATTCTAAATTTTATTGTTATTTTTATTATATTTTATATTTTTATTATTTTACGTATTTATAAATAGATAGACTTTTTGCTTATGTTGTAAATTAACTCTTTTGCAAACTAAAGTAACTCTTTTGCGAGTATAAGTTTCAATATTAATAAAGGAATCATTTAAAACTTATATCTTTCTGCCTCTTCGTGTCTTCATATAGTCTGACGTGATCGCTACACATTATTTGTAATTGAGTTCATCATCCAAATTCTTTAACTAAATTGTTAATAATCTCATCTTTTACTTGATAGATTTGTTCAAGTCTAACGCGTAAATTTGCTAAAGTTAAGAATTAGACAGATCTTAACGTTTTAATCGCAGTAAACCGCAGTTAGAAATTTCAAGTAAAAACTTGATAACGTGACCACCCCAAGTTGAAGAATTCCACAGTGACACTATAATATTTATATACTAACTTAAACTAATATAATACTTCCTTCTCAAAATAAGTAGCCAGAGATTAAGGGTAGCGTATATGACATTATCATGCTTATGGTAAATCACATGATATAGATTTGCAAAATATTGTCACAATTATAAGTTTACGTAACTTTGCGAAATGTGAATAATTTATACCTTATTCGACTCGGCAAAACTTGAGCTACCCAATAATATATTATGAATATATATTATTAATGAGGTAACCTAAAAAAGTTGGTTTAATTATTACCTAAGTTTGCGAATTCTAGCAAATTCTTTATATGAAATATAACTTTATTCACAAAAATTAAGATATATGCAAAAAAAATATATTCTGAGTCAAAACTATGATTCAAAATAATAAAATTTGGTTGTTTTATTTTTTAAAAAAGGTATATTCACAATCTATATATTTATATATGTATATGTATGTTAGAAAATGGTTATGCTTCGATGGTACCAAAATCTCTCTTTTAATAACAAATATCAGGTTTTTTCTCAAACAAACAAAACACATTTTGTGTTAGATACTTCTCAACTCTGGCAAGTTGTTGATATATATAAACAATTTCAAGATATAACTGTTAATTCTCAAGTAGGATATTATCATATCAAAGTGGATAATGAAAAGACCTGGGTATCACTTTTACCTGGCTATACAATTTATACTGCTTTTGGAAACAATATTTTCAAACTTTTCATTGAATATTCCATTCAGCAACTATTATTTTCTTGAGTTGATTTTGGAATAGACGAAAATGATCTTACTATCCCTATAGCATCAGATTCTCAACCTGATCATTTTCGAAGTCTTATAAGATATATAAAACCCAATGGTAAATTATCAATTCCTTTCACAATAGGTATTAATATTTTATTTATTGTCAGATTGTTAAAAGATTCAGTATATAAAAAATATCCTGAGCTATATCCCGAATTGCAAGTTTTTACTAAAGTGCAAGAAATGACAAAAAAAAATGATTGGAACAATTGAAAAAAAAGGAAATGCCTTTGATCAGAACTACAATCAACATCAACAGGTAAATTAGTTCGTGATAGCATATGCATAACCAGTGATATGAAGCCAGTGAGTTTGAAAAGTTTTTATATGGTGTTATCTGAGCACAAACAGACAAAAAATAAACTATACAATGCTAATCGGCAAATCAAACGGCTGAAAGTATAACGTGATCATTATTTTGACATTGTGGAGAAAGAGGATAATGATGATGACGAATCATTAGTATTAATGATTCAAGACTCTATAAAAGAAGAAAAGCTTGGCTCAACATTATTGATAAGCACTGAATAATATCTTTCTTTGGTATTACAGCAACCTTGTGATTCATGTGGAGAAACAAAAATCATCAACAAAAAATGGAATATTTCAACAGCAGGACTCTCTATAAAAATACTTATTAAATGTTAAGTTTGTAAGATGGTTAAAGAATTTTCTAATGAATCAGCAGAAGTAAATTTCAATGCTTGCTTCGCTGCTGTAGGTTTAGTTGGCAGAATAAATAGACAATTATTACAAATGACTTTTATGTGTGCAGGTGTTATATCGCAACTCTATAAAGCTTCTTACCATAATTACCAAGCTATGACTTTTGAAAAGATTGTGGAGTCAGCCGAAATAAGCACAAAAATAGCTTTATAAAAAGTAATTAATTATTGCAAAACAAAAGGAAATGATATATGATGGTAAAGATGTAGGTAAATATCATATATATTTTTTTTTTTAAAAAAAATTTTGTTTTGGTTTGTAATTACTTATTAGTATACTTTTCTGCATTAAGATATTTTTACAAACCTGTGATTGCATTTCATGTTGTTGAAAAATCCCGAAAAATAAAAAAATAGGATGGAGAAGACAAAATTATAAGAGAAGGCAACTTTGATTTAAGTTCTCGTTAGATGGAACACGCTATCCTGATTAGTATTCTTGGAAAATTA